GAAATATCCACTAATCTCTGGAAACATCGGAGCTCCCACCAAACACGTTCTCAACCTTTATCACGCCTAAACCCTCGTAGAATTCTCTAGAACGCCCGCCCCGCCCGCTTTTATTAAGCTCCCAGACGACGCTCACTTTATCCTCCACCTCATTTTGATTTGTAAATTGTAATCGCTATTAGATTTCCCTGTAGCTTTTCTCTTCTCGTAGCGCTTCTCTTCTCGAGCCAATAAGAGAATGGATGACGATTTCGATATGACCCCCGCGGAGGGACTCGATGAGGACATGGATCTGCCGGGCGGGAGCACCTACATGAAAGTTGGAGAGGAGAAGGAGATCGGCTCGCAGGGACTGAAGAAGAAGCTTGTTAAGGAAGGTGAAGGCTGGGATACTCCCGATAATGGCGATGAAGTAGAAGGTAATTAGCGTTTTCTTTTGACGAAATTCAAGTATTTCTCTATCTTTTTCTTTATATATATATCGATATTGATTGTGATGGACTTCTTTTTTTTTTTTTGTATTGATCTGTATTGATTTGTTTGTTGTTTTATTAATCTGAATGAATTTACGGTGCAGTTCACTACACTGGGACGCTGCTGGATGGGACTAAGTTCGACTCGAGCCGAGATCGGGGAGCACCATTCACTTTCACTCTCGGCCAAGGTTAGAAGACTTCATTTTGAGCTTCAGTTCTTTTGTTTCGATCCAATTGTTTATTTATGGGAATTAAAATGTACGAGTTAGTCAAGAAGGCAAGTATGAATTAGTCAAGACGGTAAGGATGAAACAAACTTGCCACATTTTTTTGTCAATGGCTGCTTATAATGGCAGTATATATCTTAGAGGTTTATTCACTCTGGCATGGGAATAACTATGCGTACGCTGTCAGCTGAGCTGTAGCTAAATTGTTTTTGGAAGGTTCTTGGTTGAATGTGCTATAGAAATCCAAGTGAGTGTATGGCTAGTGGGTCTTCCTGAAAGTTATTGTAGTGGGGTTATGTCCTTATGCGCAGGTGACTAGATGAAGTTTTCAGGGATGCCTATACCTTGATTGAATAAGTTATGGCCGTGGCTTTTTCTATAATGATACGTGCTTTCACATGATTCAGTACTTGATGATAGTAGCCATCATTGTGAAGTTGCATAATTTGATTGAATTAATATTTTCAGACCAAATAGGGTAAGTGAAAATAGAACGAAGGTAGTAAATTTATACTTTTTTGTGAAGATTCATGTGGTTTCTTATTTTATTTAACTGGTCCATATGACTAGTAGGATAACATTGTGGATGCCAGCTTTATACAAATAATCCTTTTTTTTCCCTCTCTCGATATTGTTATGAGCTGCATTTAAAATTTTTCCATTTTCAGCTTTTACGAATAATCTTGTTGCTTATGAATTCTTAAATTCTGTAACAGGCCAAGTCATTAAGGGATGGGACCAAGGTATCAAGACAATGAAGAAGGGTGAAAAGGCCATTTTCACCATACCACCAGAGTTGGCGTATGGCGAATCAGGCTCACCCCCTACCATCCCTCCAAATGCAACTTTGCAGTTTGATGTTGAGTTACTGTCCTGGGTCAGTGTCAAGGATATCTGCAAGGATGGTGGCATATTTAAGAAGATTGTCAAAGAGGGAGAAAAGTGGGAGAACCCTAAGGATGATGATGAAGTGCTTGGTATGCCGGCATTTGCTTTCTAAAATTGTATATAATTTATTGTAATGCTAATACTGACTTATATATTCTTACCTATGATTTAGTTAACTATGAAGCGAAACTGGAAGATGGCACTGTTATATCCAAAGCGGATGATGTTGAGTTCACTGTTCGGGAAGGTAGGGTCATGAATAAATCCTGTCATGATAAATGATGCCTTTTCTTCTCTTTTCTTTTTATTCTGATTTGATTTCCCAATATCATTTATTTTTCATGATCAGGTCATTTTTGTCCGGCTATAACCAAGGCTGTGAAAACAATGAAGAAAGGTGAAAAGGTCCTTCTTTCCGTCAAACCACAATGTAAGGACTTCCTCTTAAATTGCAAATGATCCTGGATTGGAAATTTTTGATGACACAGAGTTGTTGATCCTTAAATTGCTACTTCTATGGCAGATGGGTTTGGTGAGAAAGGAAAACCAGCCTCAGGTGATGGAGTTGCAGTTCCGCCCAATGCTAAGTTGAACATAAATCTGGAGTTGGCGTCCTGGAAGACAGTTTCTAGTGTAACTGATGACAAGAAAGTAATGAAGAAAATACTGAAAGAGGGGGAGGGTTATGAGCGTCCAAATGAAGGAGCGGTTGTTAAATGTAAACTTTTTTATGCAACTTATATTATTCTTTCGGAAAATATGACAACTACCATATAGCTTATGAATAGCTAGAAGACGGTCCTAAACTTGAACAAAGAGTTGAAGATTTAATATCTATGTGTTACTATCTTTATAGCTAATTTGGTAGGCAGTGAGTCTAATCATTTTTTTTGTAAATCTTTGGCCAGTAAAACTGACAGGAAAGCTGCATGATGGAACAATATTTGTTAGGAAAGGTCATGGGGAAGATGAAAGTGATCTTTTTGAGTTCAAGACTGATGAAGGTATGTAGAAACTCTTTGACTTTTTCTCTCTTCAACAATATTGTCTGCACAGGTTCTAAGCTGCTGTTTTTCACTTTCTCCAAATCACAGAGCAAGTAATTGAGGGATTGGACAGGGCTGTCATTACAATGAAAAAGGGAGAGGTAGCGCTCTTGACAGTTGCCCCTGAGTACGCATTTGGTTCGTCTGAATCAAAACAAGAGTTGGCAACAGTTCCTGCAAACTCGACTTTGTACTATGAAGTTGAGCTCGTTTCATTTGTTAAGGTCAGTTAATGATGTGGCTTTTGCGTTTTCTGGTTTCATGATAGTTTCAAAAGAATTCCCAAGGGGACTGATAGTTTCACAAAAGCATTCACAAGGGCTGGCCCACATGGAAAATGCAATTGTGACTCACCATATACTAATTAGATGCTAGCAGATAATAACGTCTGTATTTTGGAATTAATTGTCCTAAGACTTAAAGGAAGTATTTGTTATGAGATCTTATCTAACAATCATGCTTGATGTTTTATCCTTCAGGAGAAGGAATCGTGGGATATGAACACTGAAGAAAAAATTGAGGCAGCTGGTAAGAAGAAGGAAGAAGGGAATGCTCTGTTTAAAGCTGGGAAATATGTTAAAGCTTCAAAAAGATACGAGAAGGTACTTGTTAAGAGAATGATGTTCAGTCAATTTCAATAGCTGGCCTATTTCTCTAGGCTTACATGAAGAATTTAACACAGGCTGCCAAATATATTGAGTACGACACTTCATTTAGTGAGGAGGAGAAGAAACGTTCCAAGGTCCTGAAAGTGACCTGCAACTTAAACAATGCTGCTTGCAAGTTGAAACTGAAAGACTACAAGAATGCAGAGAAGCTGTGCACAAAGGTTGGATTTACTTTCTCCCCTCTCTATCTTCTGAGTTCATTGCTGTGTTGTTTCTTATGTTGTCATTATGTGACACCGTATGCAATTAAGCATAAACTGTTAGAGAAGGCTTCTTATGAAAATCTTGCAAAAACATTAATGTAGCACAAAAACACTTATAACCTTGAAATGTGTATGCATTTCCCACTTGTTTGCTGTAGTTTGTAGTACAACAATGTACATCATACATCATATGTCTTTGTCATGTGTGCTGTAAGATGAATTGTTGGCTGAGTATTCTAGTGAGCATACTTTTATCAAGTTAGTGTAAGTTTGTTGAGCTGAAATGGAAGTTGCACTGAAGGTGTTGGAGCTTGAGAGCACAAATGTGAAGGCACTGTACAGAAGAGCCCAAGCATACATGAACATGGCAGATTTGGATTTGGCTGAACTTGACATTAAGAAAGCTCTTGAAATTGACCCCGACAACAGGTTATCTTGGATATTGATGTATATATATACGAAATTGCAATTTTCTAGATATCTGTGTGAAGACACCCTTGGGCTTATTTTGTTCTCTTAGGGATGTGAAGCTTGAACATAAAGCACTGAAGGAAAAGGTCAAGGAGTTCAATAAGAAGGATGCCAAGTTCTATGGCAATATGTTTGCCAAACTGAACAAGCTGCAGCCATTTGATGCTAATGTAAGTTTTACTTGTAAACCCAATTGTTTCTTTCCCGTTTAATGTGTTGGTCTTGGCTTAAACATGATTGTTCCTAATTTGATATATTTGTTGCTATTGATATGACGGACTATACAGAATGCGGCACCTAAGGAGGCTGAGCCTATGAGCATTGACAGCAAGGCATAGAGCGATGTACAATAACCAATGCTTAGGTCAACATGATTCACTTGTTTCTTTATATTCATTGTGGTTGAAAGAGCTGTAATTGTGTTGCTTCATTGTGGGATTTGGACTGTTATGCGTAGTCTCAGACTGCATGGATTTGTATGTCCTTGTCATGTTTTTCTGAGTTGAAGAGGTTTGTTTTTGATATTGGTGTCTTGCATTTTTTAGCATTATTATGACCACTAATATAGTTTTGTGGGTTGGCTATGTTCATCCGGAAAGCTTTTGGCATTGAAACTAGATATCCAGGAAGGATAGTTTCATGGTGAAATTGTGACTAGATTGATACTTGGTAATTTCAGCAAGCATAATAAATATGTTGATGAGCTGAAACAAAAGTTTATTAACAAAATTAGCGAGCACCTTGAAGGAAGTTAAAAGGATTGTATTTTTTGACAATCTATTACTATATAATACAGTTAAGAAAAATTATTCAAACAATTTCAAAAAAATTAATTTGTTTTCCCGCTTCATAAGTCATTTTTCCGCTTCTATAATTCGTAATTTTTTTTTAATATAATTAACATATCCCACCCATGCAATTTGAATTTTAGTTTCAAGAATCCAATTGATTTGAACTTATAAAAAATCTGAAAATTAATTTCCTTATTTAATTGATTGTGTGTTTGATTCAGTCTCAAAATAAATAATGTAGATTTGTTCAAATCCGGTCAAGGGTGTAAATTGGTTGAAAATTTCTAAATTTTGTTAACAAAATATCTGGTCAAAATCATTTTTTTATAATTGAAATCTGCATATGAAGAATCATGCAATAATTGAAAAAAGCTAATGAACATAAGATCCTACATATCTGTTAGCATTAATGGACTATTTTTTTACAATTTCAAAAAACCTTAAAAAAACTAACATATATAATTACATTCTAAATTGAACATAAAATCGATAACATTAATGATATCAATTCGCCAATTCTCTCCCCAAAAAATCCCCAAAATCCCTCAACCCTAGTCGCCAATTTTCGCCGTGCTATCGCCCCCTTAACGGCGGTCCGGAGCCGTCGGTCGACGGCCTCCACCGCTCACTCAAGTCGGAATTGCGATTATATCCATTCGCTGGCCCTGTTCCAGACTCGCGGGATCGACGACGTCGATCGATGGTGTTTGGCGGAGGTTGCGGTGGTTCGGGTCGCAGTGGCCGAGCTTGGTTGTGGCTTGGTCCGTCAAGGTGTCCCAGGCTGTGACGTTGTCTCCTCGGTCTCATTCCTCTTCCCGTCATCTGTGGCTCTGTCCTTCTGCACCGGCGAAGCTGTGCCTGGGAAGGTGAGCTTCCGTCCTCGATGATCGGCAACATCGTACGGTGGTAAGCTTCTCTTTTACTGCTTTGGCTCGGTTTCTTTTGCTGCGACAGATGGTAGGCTTTTGGGGATTGGACTGATTAGATGGCTTGGGTTGGGTCATTTGGACGATGCCTAGCATAGTAGGCTTTCGGCCCTTTCCTCTTCTATGTCGGCTGCCGGGCCTGTTGGTTGAGGCTACCTAAGACTGCATTGGCAGCTTTGGAGTGGAGTCGGTTCGGCTGAGGGTCGGTTGTTCCTTCTTTTGTGTGGAGTGCAGGCTAAGGCCTTAGTTAGTGTGGGATGGCCGAGCAATCGCCTTGCTAGGCCTTAAGCAGTGGTGGGTGGAGGTTCGATTATCTGAAACTGGCTTCGGTTCTGGTCTGTTCGGCTGACATTTGGATTCGACTGTTGTGGGGGACATTTTAGTATGTAGTTTATATGTTTTGTTTGTAGTTTATGTTTGTTCGTGTGGTTGTGTCCGAGTTTTTGTCTTTTGTTGCTGTTGTGTTTTTGTGTTTTTGGTATGGGCCGTTGGCCCCTGTTAACCTGGGTGTTACCTTGATTCTCCTATTGGGAGCCAACACCTAGGCATTCTCTCGGAGGGGAGCTTTTAGTTTTGTGTTTGTGTTTAGTTGCGTTTTTCTCCCGTGGGGAGCCAGTAGTCTTGTGTTTGTGCTTAGTTGTTTGAGTTAGGTTTTCTTCTGGCGTTGCCAGCGATTCTAGGCGGACTTCGGTCTAGCCTCTCAGTTTGTAATTCCGCACATTTGTGCGCCTTTTATATAGTTATTCTATCGTTTCGGAAATATAATTTCATATTTTATTAAATAAATTTATAATAGTTAAATAAAAAATCTTGATGAAAATTAAAAAAATCTTGATTATAGAAGGGATTTAGTTTTTTACATTTGCTAAATCAAAGTTGTTTAATTAGTATACACAATTAAATTCTAAAAAAAACTTGTGTGTATATTTTGTAAAATTTATACACTATTTAATTTTAAATTTATTTAAATATTTTAAATTAATTACATAAATAAATATTGCTAACGTGCATTAAATATTTTTCATCACATAAAATAAAAAGAAAAAGAAGACCTACAATGTCTATAATTTTATAAATAATAATGACAATATATGACAACAAAGTTTATGACATGCTCATATTTAATATTCTGGCAAAAAACACAAGCTGATTAAACTTATTGTTTTTTAGACTTAAACGGACGGAGTCTATTGAAATAACTCATTTAATATCTCTGTCCCGTGCATAGCACATGGTACGTACTAGTTTTGTTTCAAAATTGAGAGTGGAGATATTTTAAGATTTTTGAATTTTGCGGAAAATTCGGAAATCTCATATTTGAGATTTTCGAAAATCTCATATTTCTAAAAGAATAAATTTTTCGAATTTTAATATTTTAAGATAGTAGTTGGGATTTTGAAGGATTTTTTACAAGATTTTATTCTTTTAGAAATATGAGATTTTAAAAATTTATAATAAATTAAAGACTTAAGTAAGTTAAATATTATAAAAGTGTTAAACTTTAAAATGTCAAATAAAACACTAAGATTTCTAAAATTCTTAAAAAGTTTAAATTAAATATGTTAAAATTTTTAAAGTTTTAAAAATATAAAAATTCTCAATGATACATCCATTTAAGGGAGTATTGAAATGAAAATTTTTAAGAATTTTGAGAACTCTTATAATTCTGTGGTATTTAAAGAAAAAAATTTTAGTTATAGAAAGTTTATAGAAAAACGGCTAAGTTTTATAATTTCAAAACAAGTTAAATTTTTTTATCCTAATAACTATTAAACAAATTATGCGATACCCTATGCAATTAGGTGAATATAATTGATATAGTATGATAAGATCATGTGATAATTGTGCGATAGACTTATTATGTGATAATTATGTAACAAACAAATGAAAATTACTAACAAGATGTAAAATATTTATGAAATAATTTATTCGACTGACGAAATTAATTGAGTATGTGCAATATAATTATGAGAACCTATGCAACAGGCGAAGATCTAACAAGTGAAAAATAATTATACGATGAATTATGCATTACACAATGAACTATGTGACAGAGGTGAAGATAATGATATGCAATAAAGGCGAAAATAATTGATAAAATATAAATATTTATACGCTAAACTGTGTGACAGATAGGTGAAATATATTGATAAAGTGCGAAAAATAGATGAAGATAGTTGATAAAGTGTGATATGATTATGTGGTAACTATGCGGCAGAAAATAATTATGTGATAGCTATGACAGACAAATGAAAATTGCTAATATAGTGCAAATTATTAATGAAATAAACTATTCGACAGACGAAAGTAATTGAGCAAGTGCGAAACAAAAATGAGAACTTACATGTGACAGGTGAAGATAACCGAGCAATTGAGATAGTTTTTTTTTCCCGAAACGATAGAGATATTATATCACATAAAAACCAGCTACCGGCTGAATACAGACAGCTAACAGCTGAATACAAGCAGCCAACAGCTGAAAAGTGGGAGGACAGGTCAGAAGACCAGCCTAGATAACCGACCCCAACAGGGTTAAATAAAAAACTACACACAAATACAAAGACCCCAACAGGGTAATACCCGAGTGTAGGATCCCAACGGGATAATAAGGTTACACTCGGGCAAACTGAGGCCAACGGTCCAGACCAAAAAAACACAATCACACAACCTAAAAACCAAACAAAAACACTCAACTACTAATCAAAATAACAACAACACAACTAATCAAGCCCTTCCAAAGAAGCTAACACCTAACCGAACCAGCAGAAACAAGACGGCTGTGAATCCCGCTGCCAGATGAACCGACCCCGAAACTACCTAAACCACTCGGTTGCCTAACGGTGACGACACCCTAGCCTCGGAACAACACCAAGTCACCCTGCACCACGGCCATAACACCCAATTGCCCCGAACCGACAAAGGAATGCTATGGCCACAGCCCCAACCCAAGAAACGCCTGAAAGCTGACCAAAGCCCCCACAACACCGCATCACCTGACCGACCAACACCTATGGCAGAAGAACGGCGGACCCCTGCAACCCAAAAGCCGAGAAACAGAGGGGAGACTTCGAGCAACAACAACATCTCAATCGCCCAGCCACCAAAGTAACCAAACAGAGGTGAAGACAATTGATATGCAACAGAGACGAAAATAATTGATAAAATGTGAAATATTTATATGATAAGCTATACGACTAACAGACAAAATTAATCGAGAAAGTGCAAAAAAAGTAAGGGACAAACAAGATAAGTTAATTGAGCGAGCGCGAAATACTTATGAGATAAACTATGCAACATAAAGACGAAGTTAATCTAGCAAGTGAAAAATAATTATGAGATGGCCTATGTGATATACATGCGAAGATAATCAAGCAAGTGCGTAATAAGTATACGATGAAATATCCGACAAAAAGACGATGATAATTGATAAAGTGCGAAATATTTATGAGATAAATTATGTGGCAAGAAGGCGAAATTAATTGATAAAGTGTAAAATAATATGATTTAAAGTATGCCACAGACGGACGAAGTTAATTGAGCAAGTGCGAATTAGTCAAGCAATAAACTATACGATAAAAAAACGAAGTTAATCGAGCAAGAGGCAGCGGTGGTTCTCTTAGAACTTCAAAATCCTTACCAAGGCTGCACGCCTCTTTGGAGAAGTGAAGGAACAAACATAAACCTTGCTCTAATGCTAATGCTAATGCTTGCTTCCAACAAGAAAGAGGACGCAGGTTCTTTCCGACCAACCTGCGTCCTCTTTCTTGGTGGGACTCATTTGATGTCAGAACAATCGTTTATAACCCACTACAGCTATTCCAGACATCAGCTTAGACGCGAGTAATAGTCCCCCCATTGCAATCTCATTATGCGATAAATTAGGCGAAAAGCAGTCGAAGTTAATTGAGCAAGTGCGATCTCATTGTGCGATAAATTAGGCGAAGGACTAGGGAAGTGATAATCGAGCAAGTGTGGTTTCATTAAGCAATAAACTAAGCGAAAGACAAATGAAGTTAATTGAGCAAGTGAAAATTAACTATACGATAAACTATGAGACAGAAAGAAGAAGATAATTGATCAAGT